AGAAAACATGTTTCTTTTAATTGAAACAGTACAAACTGTAGCTTACATGCATTTGTAAAGTAAATAAAGTGCACTAAGTACCTTGCTTTGAATAGTTTGATGGCTTTTTTAACCTTGACACTTAAAAAAGGTCAAGGTTCTTTAAGGCTAAGTCATCACTCTAAGCCTGATGACTTAGAGTGAAGTCATCAGGCTTCACTCTAAACCTGATGACCTAATCACTCTCCCGGCAAAGCAAGCAGTGAGTGAGCAAGGTGACAGTTGGATGTTACGATACTTGCGGATGAATATCGATTTTTTTTCTAGGAAAGAAAATGTCGATATATATCGCAAAATTGATATTATTACACAGCCCTAATTTCTAATGGAAATGCAGCTGGTATGACTTCAGTTTAAGCTCTCCGTGAGACTAATGTGTAAACTTTTCTAACGTCGTTGTCGGGAGACAGTGATGATAAACACAGTGGGATAATGATGCAAGGCCTTGGGCTTTTAGTGTGCACATGTTTGGGTGGAATGTGTTTGCCCCACCTCTGTTGTGACATTATCAGTTCGCTGATTACAGAAGTTTAGAGTTAATTTTAAAATGAGAAAATCTGTTTAAAATAATCATCTCTTACCTGGATACCGAATGGCTGATCTCTAATATTCATGTCATCTTTCGCATACCTAAGAGATAACAAAACAACAAGTGATCATACAAAAACAACAGATTGAAATTCTGACTACAAATGTTACAAACCACCACTTACTTCTCTCGAGGAGCCACCTTCTGCCATTCAAATTTGCACTCTTCTTCTCCTTCCTAGGAAGCAAACTCTTTTGGTATTAATGTTTCTTCAGTGGTTGCTACTACTCACATGATTTTACAATCTAAACTATAAAATAATGTTTTAATCTGCAAGACATTTGAATTTCTCCTAAAATTCAATTTTAGAGGAAATTTAGCACATGGCTTGTTTTAAGCTATATCCTGTTCAAAAATGTGACACCATGTTTATGATACTTATTTGTAAGTGATAAGAACATTGAGATAAGAGATGTATTAAAACATGGGTATTTACTTAAATACAAAAACAATGATTTACTTTCTTTTTGAGAAATATATAAAGTTGAAGCCTCAATTTTTATTTAATTTTATTTAATTTACCTCTTTCTTTTCCTCTTCAGGTCAGAAGCAAGTTTTGGAGAATTAAAGAAAGAAAAACAAATATTAAACACACAAAGTCTTCACCTTAACAAGAAGTTGAAATGCAGCGATAATATTTTGAAGAGCTGCCCTGAGCAAGAGATAATTTACCTTTGGATGCTCCAGGAGGAGCTTCGTACATAAAATTGAGTCCATTTTTAACACGATCGTCTCCCATCAACAACCTGCAGGTTAAAAGAAAAAAAAAAAAAAGACATTGCACTTCTTTTTAAGGACTCATAGTTAAGGTGCACAATGTATGAAGTTGGAGGCGTCCTTGAGAGAGATTTGTTTCAAAAGGCCAACACTAACCTGTTATTGTATGTGTCCTGTTCTTTTAAATACGCCTGCATAAGGTCTTCCTGCTTCCTCTTCTCGAATGTTAGTTTCTGTTCGGCCATCCATACCTAAAAAGACAGGAGTATTCATAGCAGATTTTCTATTTCTCCATACATATAACGTTAAAAAACTCAAAAACATAAATTACTCTTAAGACCAAAACAGTGCTAAAAATATTGAAGATGTACTCATCAATAATCTTTATTACAATTACTGCGTTTTAAGAAGAAAATAAACAGGTTCATGGCATTAATTAAGAAAAGCATTTGAAGCATGGAATGTGTTTTGTTGGTACTACTGATATGTAATTGGTTGTTTATTAAATATATGAAGTCTTTAAAAATTAGACTTTTCATATTTTAGAAAGTGTATATTTGGACATTATTTTAGAAAATAATATCTAAATGTTCAAATGAAGATATGGAACTTAAATAGATAACATCTTTATATTATTTTAGGGTTGAATAATTTTCAATTTAATAGAACAAACTGCTGTTATGATGCAAATCTTTCAAAAATTGACTCGTCAGTTAAAACATTAAATTTAATCTGCTAAACTATTCCTAAAACCAAGACCACAATCAACACACCTCAGCAGCTGATGTGTATTTCCTGATATTTTGTGATTAGTGAAATGTTAGCTTTTGTTTCTGATCGTAAGTAGCACGTCTATAGCTAAATGGCTAAGCTAAAGCTCTTTAGCCTCAACTATGCTAACGTTTACGGTGACTTAACTCTTACCTTTTTAATATTCGACTTCGAAGCAGGATGAAAATCCTTTTTACACATAAAATTAGCAAACGACTTCCCCATGGCGGCTGTTAAGCACTGAAAGAAGACAGTAAGCTGTTGCGTTACGTTGAGCTAAAGTAGCCACTGGTAGCTTAGCTTCCCTTCCTTGTAAATAAAACCCAGTGAGCGAGATGAAGTTGGTTTCATGTTGGTATAAATAAGGTCACGTGTAAAACTCGTCATCAAACGCACACCACCAGTTTTATGTTATATTATGATAATTATTCATATGAAGTTTGTCTTTCCATTATACACACCACATAATAATTACTATTTAATGGCACATTTCCTTTTCGTTTGTTTTAGTCAAATGTTGTTATTGAGTCCATTTTTGAGTGCATAATTATTAGGGATGATTATTAAATCATGGTTAATGATTGTATTCTAATATATTATCGTTATACATTCTTATTCTAATATTTAATTTTACTCCGAATAAGACAGAAGATAAGGAGAAGTAAGTTTCTTTTTACTCGAATCTAAACCTAACTTCATCTTTTTGTCACGTGACAGACCTGTTTCCGTATCAGTGGATTGACTGCTGAAATCCTGCAGGCGAGCAAGAATAGAAACCGATACTGACAGCTGCCAGACGACTCCTCAGGTAGTATGGTCTTCTTATATACCCGTTTAAAAGTACATCGTTGCTTTGCCGTGTACAAGTGGCTGCATTTGTTGGGATTGTCATAAAGTAAGGGGTTGACAAACTTTCCTACTTTCTCCTACCTACTAGTCTGTGGTTGAAATGTTTCCATCCTCCTGTGACACCTTTGTGGCTCTGCCTCCTTCCTCTGAGGGACAGCGCATCATTTTTGGGAAAAACTCGGACAGACCCTGCGATGAGGTCCAAGAGGTTGTGCATTTCCCTGCCAGAGACTATGGTCCAGAGGAGAAGGTTGAGGTAGGTGTCACATTGATTTAGTTGCTCATGACTTCTCCTCGCTAAGTATGAAACTTCATAACTTTTTAAAATCTCCCTTTCTTTTTGTGGAAAAAGTGCACATACATACAGATCGAGCAGGTTGCCCACACCTATGCAGTTGTGCTGAGCAAGCCAGCATGGCTGTGGGGGGCTGAGATGGGTGCAAATGAGCATCAAGTGTGCATTGGGAATGAGGCAGTGTGGGGCAGAGAGAGCGCTGATGGAGAGGAGGCTCTGCTTGGAATGGACCTTGTCAGGTAAAAATGCCACGCAGGCATGTTAATAACCCATACAGATGAAGGAAAAATGAATTATAATTTAGTTTTTTTCCTTTTTTACAAAAGAAAATCTGTGGTGTTCATTTCTATTCAGTCTACTCTGAGTCTTTAAAGTATTTTATGAATTGATCTGTACTGGCATTTACAGCTATCTGACAAATCGGAAAAATAAAATTGACCACTATTACAATACCATCGGCATCTTATTCCACGTGTTCTAATGATTTCTGATCAAGTTTGTGAAATAAAAGGAAAAAGTGATTTGTGATTCTTCAATTTTGCAGACTTGGTCTTGAGCGAGCTGACACGGCTGAGAAAGCTGTTGATGTTATCGCTGCGTTGTTGGAGAAGTACGGTCAGGGAGGCTCATGCATGGAAGATCAGAGTGAGTTCACCTACCACAACAGCTTCCTTATCTCAGACCGAAAGGAAGCGTGGGTACTGGAAACATCCGGGAAGTACTGGGCAGCAGAGAGAGTGGAAGGTAATCAGAAAACTGCAATTGGAAATAAAGAAAATGTTTAGTTTGCATCCCAACAGATGTGCCACACTTTTAGTCATAATCATTCACAACGTCTTGCAAAGGTTATCAGACCCCTTAAAAATGTTCTAATTTTTTATGTGACAATCACAAATCCCAATGTAGTTTTGTTAAGATTGTCTTTATTATTGGGTTGGTCTCTTCAATAAAATCCCGTCAGAATAAAGTTTGTGATTGTGACATGAAAAAAGTGTTGCAAAAAAATGAAAAAACTGCAAAACCTGAATTTATCTGAAAAATCACTATTTTTTTCTAGGAGTACAGTGTTACGTTACCAAATCAGTAATATATTAAATGTATTTTCAGCCGTTCAAATGTCTGAACCCTTATCTAGGTCCAGCTTTGACACGTTGCTTCAGTTACTGGTGAATCTCATAATTTCACGGCTTGTTTCCAGAGGGATATCGGAACATCTCCAACCAGTATGGAATAACAACGAAGATAGACAAGGAGCATCCAGGAATGAGGGTATACGCTCAGAGCAAAGGATGGTGGGACGGGAAGTCAGAGTTCAACTTTGCCACGGTCTACTCCTTTCTGACGACAGCCAGGATAGAGTCTGCTGGGACTCGGTACTGCGAGGGGAAGAGCTTGTTGGAAAAGAGAAACGGTTGGTTTTGTTAGACTCTCTGCAGAAAGAATTTTGGAAACGTTGACAGAGGCTTCATGGTTCTATTTTTTTTTCTCTCTCAAGGCCACATTACTGCAGAGGCAATGATGGATATCCTGCGAGATAAAGACAGTGGCATCAACATGGAGGGCATGTTCATGACAACAGGAAGCATGGTGTCTGTGGTACCCACGAATTCGGCTCTGCCAGGAGTTCACTACTTCACAGGAACTCCAGATCCAGAGAGGTGCTTCGGTTGCAAGCCTTTCAGTTCATGAGCAACAACTGCAGGTACAGAAGATTTATAACGTTCTGTCTTTGTTCAACAGGTCTGTTTTCAAACCATTCGTGTTTGTGAAAAACGCACGTGAGTTGAAGGAGACGTCCTCCCCCAGCTTTGGTCCAGATGATCCCGTGAAGAAGAAACCCCGCTTCCAGAGCAAACCAGACCGCAAACATCCGTTGTTTGTGAAGCACGAGGTTATCGCCGCCATCATTGAATCTTACAAGGTTTGTCACTCTAAAAGCCACAAAATGCTCTTACCTGATCGTTTATCGTAGAGAGGTTTAGTGTTAATGTATTCTTTTATTTTTTTTTTTAGGAAAGAGGACAGAAAATCACAGAAAATCTGAGGCAACTTGAGAAAGAGGCAATGAAAAAGATGGAGAATATTCTCGCAGTGGGTGTGCAACAACCTGATGACTATGTGAACCTGTTCTCCGAGTGTGTCCAGGAGGAGCTGAGTGTTTACAGCAAAACTCAAAGAGCTGTGTGAGATAAAAAAAAAAAAAAGTGCAGCAGTGCATTTCCTAATGTGCTGCTTGGAGCCAGATTTAATTACCAATGTGCATATAGGATGAACCAGTATATAACTGAACTTAATAAAATCATTGCACAGAACTGCACATGAATCCAACATCATAATATTGTTACTTTTACATTGATTGTAAAAGTACAGAAAAAAAAACCTTTATGTATATTTAATTTATATTATAGTTAAACAGATGTGCAGCATTTGGCAGAACACACTACAAATTTCATTGGAGGTTTATTAAAGAAGGATTTATTCAAAACTTGCAACAAAATTAATAGAACAAACTTAAAAAAAAAGACAATTCATCTCTTTATTTGAAATAATTAAAATAGCAGCATTAAACTTTATTTAACAAGATTTATGTGTTAGGTTAGTCAAGATGAGCATTTTCAAGTCAACACAGCAGAACATTTTTCTACAACAATCAGATTGACTAGTTGGACATATTAGTCGTCTTGGTCTTCAGCTGCAAATCAATCAAGGTTTTTTCTTTTAAATGCATCTTCCACAAACATGGACAAGAAGCTGCACATTTTCCCTCAAGAACAAATATTTTAACATAACAAATATGAAGATTTCAGTATTATGTGCTGAAAGAAATACAGTAGTAACAGTGCATCAGGGCGATTGTAGATTAATTATATCTATCTAGCTGCACTGCTTGGAGGAGTATATTTGTACCCAAAATAAAACAGCAATTTTTAGATTAATTTTGCATGTTTACAAGAAAAAAAAGTAGATATTCTGATGTCAGACAATTCATCTGTTGAAAGTCTGCAAAAAGTTGCAGATTTAAAAAAAAAAAAAAAAAGAAAATCCACAATTAAAGGCATAAATTTATGCCTGCAATTAAAGGCATAGATTTATGCCTTCAATTACAGAAAACAGTAATCTTTTTCTTATAAATTTACAACTATTCAACATCAGAAAATACCGGGGTTTTTTTTCCCTTGTAAATATGTGAAATTAATCAGAACATTTGAGATTTTTTGACAGAAATGTGCTCCTCTGTGGCCAATTAATTTCTTCTTTTTATCTACGACGGCCCTAATGGTACACATGAATGTGTAAATTAAAAAGATGTTGCACTATCCCCAGAAATTAAATATTTTTAATTAACAGAATATGGGACAGCAGTTCTATAAACATTCAAAATGAGTAAAGAGAAATTCACAGCAACAGCTTAATATTGTTCCACTGATCTAAATTGTGCAACATGAGACATTCAGTGCATCCAGTAAAGCAGGCAGACCCAGTTTATGACTATCAAATAGCTTACTATTTTAATTAAAACACTATCTATAAACACTGCTAACATGGCCTGAGAAACATTTACTCTGGCTTTTCTAAGATGCTCAGTTTTCTGAGCATTTTCTCACAACGCTCAGAAAACTGCAAACTTTTAAGTAACAATACCCGTGCTTACTTTAATAAATGCCGAACATATAATCCTGTCTTCCCTTTATCACTTTAGGACAGGGTTTATCAGCCTTTACAATCCAGACATTTTCAAACTTCTTCCTTCTACAGCTTTAAAACCTACATTGCCTTTAAAAAAAAATTAAGTGAAATAAACATTTAAATAATTGATTTTGTCAAAAATAATTTTAAACTAAAGAACCACCATATATTTCGATTCCAATTTTAGGTCTTGGAACAAAAACATTAGATTTTTTGCAAGAGAGTAATATATTTTTTAGTATATTTAGAAATGATTGGTCACTTAAAAATAAAATAAAGCACAATTTGCAGATGAATGACAACACGACTAAGAAGAAGAAGAAAAAAAATAAATAAATAAAGTTTCATATTGTGTCATTCCGCTTTATGAATTCAAAGGAAATGTTTGAAATGCTTCCAAAAATGTGCGTTTTCTACTGGTTTTCATTCATCTACATCCTTTTTGCTTGTTTCTATGTCACTTCATGCATTTTAAGCTATAAAGAGCCACTTTAGAGGATCTGATGACCTACAAGTGTAGA